AGGGAACTGTCTCAAGCAAAGCGTTGATTTATAGCACATCGTGCCCGCATAGGCATAGGCTACATGTCCGAGGACTCGAGTGTAATGATTGTAAAGCCAACCCAGTCAGATTTTCATAGGTACTATGCTCGGAATGGATTTTGGGATCTGAAACCCTACTATTTGGGTACTTGGACCCTCTGGGATAGAAATAACAGTAGCAACAAGACGTTTAAGAGAGGACGTCGATTTAGATCTGTAGTGGCGAACCGCAGCAGCAGCAGCAGCAGCAGCAGCAGCAGCAGCAGCAGCAGGTGCAAACAAGCGAAGCAAGTCGAAACTCCAATGCTAGCGGCGGCCATGATGGGGATCTGAATCGTCGTCGCAGCAACAGTAAAAGAAACTCTAAGCCCCACGAGCGTAAACAAATGAACGGCAGCACCCTGAAACTCGCATTGGCTTTGAGTTTCTCCGGTTGCTAGCCCCGTTTACCTGTGATGGGGCACGGTGTATCCCCGATACACTACTAGAGTCGCATGTCCCAAGGCCTTTCCTTAACCCTAAACGGCAAGACTCTGAACCGCGCGACATTGCAAGTCAGTAATCGGCGAGTCGATCTGGGCCTCAAAACTTTCTGGTGCTCAGTAGGCAATGGGGGGAATGGATCCCAAGAGCAGTCCCTATATAATCCCCAATAATAGCCCCCAATATCCATTTTTCCAGTCCCTACTAAGAACCAGACAGAAGAGTTTCCCACAACGTGCAGCAATAGCAACACTTTTAGTAATCAGACGAGTGATAATTAATAAAGACAATACTATTACCACCAATAACAAAATGAGTGTAACAGTTGATCAATTGTACTGTAAGGAACTTAATACACAAGAATAACAATATCATTGTTATTTACTGTTCGTATGAATTACTGCTCTCACTTTATTGGTTTGGTTATTTTTTGACTCGTATTAATTACTGCTCTCGCTTTATTGGTTTGGTTATTTTTAAACTCGACTTCGACACTTCCTGATCATACCCAGGCAGAGTTGCAATGCTTTTTTCGTCCGGTTAAGCTTTCTCCTATAATAGGATCCCATAGATTTCCTCCAGATTACACAATCAAGCTACTACATTTCTTGGCCTAGGTAAGCTCCCTAGTTCTGACCAGTCATTAATCCCGGGTTTCGGGTGCTCCGGCTGGCCGCTCCCAATTCCGCCATGCTGCGCCGGGCACCCAGAAAGAGCAGCCGCAAATCCGCAGCGCACGTGCTTAAGAGATCCCAGCTCCCTTATGATTAAGGGCAGGCGCAAAATCCAACCACCCATGCTGATACTCAATACCGTATAGTGGCACGAGTATGGAGCCAGGCTCGTATACACTTCACAGATGGAGTCGGTCTGAGATGGGAGTGTATAGAATAGGTCACTCTGCAGCACCTACACCACGCCTTTGCTAGGCTCCCCAGCTGGAAACCTTGAACCCTCAATCTTGAGCCCCGAACCCGCTGGAGCCCTGCTGCAATATGTTTGAAGACTCTGAAGGAAGCGGACCACAGTTGCACCCTAAACCCTAAACCCAAAGCCACAAGGCATGAGCATCCCCAAACGGTTGCAGCCCCACGTGATTTCTGGCTGAAGCCGCAGCGGTTCAAGTTCCCCTTCAGTCCCCACGGCTTCCTTCCAAGTGATCTACGGATCTGCTTAAGGCGTGCAAGTCTCGAGTATATTTAGTGAGGGTCCAGGTTATTTAAACCCCACTCGAACGCCTAGAAGAGCCTGTAGACTGTACGGCTTAACAGTGTCGAACTCAGGGTGGGCTGGGGTGGGCTGCTTGCTACACACGGTGCGAGCGGCTTGGGTGTGTTTCAGACCAGCAAGCACCCATAACGTGAACACACCTCAAACCCTAAACCATCCTAAACTCCTAAACCCTTACACCGAAACCCCTCTTTAAACCCTCTTTGGAATGTAAGTCCTAAAGCCTATTCTTCTCAGGTCTTGCGAGATCCTGGAGGGCAGTGCCACGCGCTGCTTGGGGTGTGGTGCCCCAGAAATGCTTGAAGAAGTCAGGGTTTAGGACAGTCTATGGGGTTTGAGAGGGCGTCGGGATGTAGGGTTTAGACGGGTTAGGTACTGGGCGACACACGTATCCGGGAGCATGGCGGCGTGAAGCCCTGCCAAGCTGTTCTCACTGAGGCCGATAGACCCTAATTATTTTCCTGCACATACGTTCGGATGAAATGTGCGTGAACTATGGCATTGAGCACGCTTTGACTGTACAACATCCTTGTCGAAAGGTTGTCACCAGCGGGCTTTCCCTGTGTAAATTCTGAACGCCGCACGAAGTACTGGATGCTTACTTCGATTTGAGTGTTGTGTTGCTGTGATCCGTGGTCTATATTGCCGAGTCCTTGAACTTGAAACACAACCAGCACCAATTAGTGAACCAATCCAGGCGAAGAGCCCGTCGTCATCGTCCGAAATCTGTCATACGGTTGATGATATACATCCTGCATTACCCATAATAAGGAATATACAATAATTCCCATAGTTTAGGGTCCTTAAGGTAATGCAGGATTTATAATTATAATATCATCAACAGTATGTACACCCTTCCCCCGGTGCCTCGGCCCTTTGACGAGATCGTGCTTACACAAGAAAGCAGGAAGAAGTGAAGCCGCGTCACATGGTCGTTAAAACATAGTACTGATACCAAATACATACCAAACTAGTTCCTGTGCTTGTACTACTGCTAGCACGACTACTGGCAGCACTATTCGTATTACTGCTAGCACTGCAGTCTTACAGTATGTTCGCTCCGTCTGCCGCGTACTATGTTTCCTCCATATACTAAACAGGATTCAGCATGCCGCCGAAAATATTATCCCCCTGCCAGTCTTGTGGCAACCGTAAGAGTTCTTACGAGAAAGCACTATAAAGTCTGCGACATGGACTTGCAGCTTCCAGGACCGGTCTCCGCATCAACCCCCTCCAGCTTTAGAATCTGCCAAATATTTCAAGCTACAAAGAGCATGGGAGCGAAATCCCCATGAAACCCATCCTAAGGTCCTTGAAAGGATCACTCCGGAAGCCCAGCTTTAAAGATATTATACATATATATATATATATACATATATATATATATATATATATATATATATATTTGTTTATTTATTTATTTATATATGATTGCGAGCAAAAAGCGTGCGAAGAAGCGAGCTGTGAACTGGCGACCGGCGTGGGGCTTGGGGTTGAGGGCTTTAGGCGTTTAAGGTGTCAAGCCGCGTTGCATGTCAAACTCTATAATACCGAGCGCGTAAGAACCCTAAATATTAAAATAAAGCGCTTAAGACATCCCCCGATATGCCTTACCCTAGGACTCGAGCCCGAAGTAGATACTACCTACGGACTCTACACACCGAAGTAGGCACTTTTGGTATAGTTGCTTGGAGTTTTCAGGTTACCCCAATCTTGCGGCTTGCTCGGATTTCTGGCGTTTGTGGCACTTGCAACCTCGGAAGGCGTACCCCTGGCCTGTCCGAGTCTCACTCGCCAGTACCTTAGCCTTCCATGCGGTCGGTTTAGGGATTTGTGAGTTTCCGAAAAATCGAGGACCCTAATAGAATGCCCTGAAGAATATAATACTTATTACACGGACCCCCAAAATAAGGGGGAATCGTTCTATGTACCGGCGTGGGTCTCAGCCTGAGATGAGGAGCTTTGAGTTGAAGGTGTTAATATTCAATGTGTACATATATACATTGTCATACATATATATATATATATATATGTAAATATGTATATATATATATATATATGAGAGAGAGTGCTACCTCTTGGGTCTATTTAGCTGCTATGTTTTCTTTATTTATTTATATATATTGTAAATAATTGAAATAATTGAAATAATTGAAATAATTCAAATATAAGGTGATGATTTCAATTCTTTCAATTATTTAGGTGACCCAAACAATTGAAATAATTGAAACAATTGAAATCGGCCCCATTTCAATTATTTCAATTATTTCAATTATTTCAATTAATTGAAATCCTATGGTTCTGTGGAAAGGCCACACGGACCAATAGGATTTCAATTATTTCAATTATTTCGATTATTTGTGTCACCCAAATAATTGAAATAATTGAAATCAATAGGTTTACTAGGTCAACGGATGAACCACACGATTTCAATTAATTGAAATAATTGAAATAATTGAAATCGGCCCTATTTCAATTATTTCAATTATTTCAATTATTTAGGTGACCCAAACAATTGAAATAATTGAAATAATTGAAATCGGCCCCATTTCAATTATTTCAATTATTTCAATTATTTCAATTAATTGAAATCCTATGGTTCTGTGGAAGGGCCTCACGGACCACAAGGATTTCAATTATTTCAATTATTTCAATTATTTAGGTGACCCAAACAATTGAAATAATTGAAATAATTGAAATCAATAGGTTTACTAGGTCAACGGATGAACCACACGATTTCAATTAATTGAAATAATTGAAATAATTGAAATCGGCCCTATTTCAATTATTTCAATTATTTAGGTGACCCAAACAATTGAAATAATTGAAATAATTGAAATCTCAATTATTTCACTTATTTCAATTATTTCAATTAATTGAAATCCTATGGTTCTGTGGAAGGGCCTCACGGACCACAAGGATTTCAATTATTTCAATTATTTAGGTGACCCAAACAATTGAAATAATTGAAATAATTGAAATCAATAGGTTTACTAGGTCAACGGATGAACCACACGATTTCAATTAATTGAAATAATTGAAATAATTGAAATAATTGAAATCGGCCCTATTTCAATTATTTCAATTATTTCAATTATTTAGGTGACCCAAACAATTGAAATTCCGAATGCGAGTGCGCTTGTTCATAATGTGCTACCGAAGGCTTGTTTTCTCGAAGCAAAAAGCTAGTGTGCCTCCGCGAGTCGGAGGTTATGAGCCCAACGCTCTCCTCCTAAGTGAGGCTGGTAAGTCGTTGGTGAGCTCCGATGGACGCCAGTGAGGCAGCCCCGCGAGAGGTCCCGCCGGAGGATGGGGGCGTGCATGATGCTGATGACAACGGGGGCTTGCCGGCGGTGGAACAGGCCATGGAGGAGGGAGACACGCGGCTCATGGGGGCCAGAGTTGATGATGAAGTTCGAGAACCTGGCTATGATGCGGCAGAGCCGTTAGGGCAGCAGGGTGAGGCGCACGGAAGCCAGGGAAATCACGGTGAGACCCAGGAGCCGTCACAGGTACCTGCGGTCTCATCCTCTGATCGGCAGCGACCTGTGCCTGCTGCTCTAACTGAGGGCGTGCGAGAAGCGGGAGAGACTGTGGCACCTCTTCAGAGTGAAGAACGAGCTGTCTCTGTGGAGCGACGAAGTGAAGAAGTGGGCCAAGTGGCGCGAAGCTTGGCCTTTATGACCAATCTGGTCACGACTTTGGTTGGCCGTATGGATCGTGTGGAACAGAATCAGTCTCGAGGTGGATCGAGCGCGTCGATGAGGAGGACAACGGCAACGGAAGGGAGAATGGAGACGCCCATGGGAGGAACCCCCGAAGCTGGAAGTCTAGGATATGTGGACATGGAGCGGCTGAACGCCCAGTTGGGGATGATGCAGCTGGCTGGGAGAGATCCAGGAGAAGGGTTGCCAGATCGGCCGTTGGCCTCTCTGGACCGAATCATGACTGGAACTTTCAGCTCGGACGACAGTGAGACAGCCAGGCTGAGGGCGTCGCAGAGCCGTGCTACTCCTGGGGCGCTTTTGGGGCCTTTGGCTATGCCTACGGGACCTTTGGTGCTGCATGGGCACCCGGGGATGATTTCAGAGGTGTCAGCCTTGGCGCCGCCACCGGGAATGCCGCAGGGATCTTCACAAATTATGGTGCAGTTTCCGAGTACGACTCAGGGATCTTCGCAAAGTGGTGTGCAGTTTCCGTGTATGCATCAGGGATCCTCTCAGACAGCTATGCCCCTTCCGTATATGCCTCAGGGATCCTCTCAGACGGGTATGCCTCCTCTGTATATGCCTCAGAGCTCTTCTCAGATCAGTGCGCCGCTCCCGAGTATGCCGCAGGGATCTTCTCAAACCGCGGTGCAGTCTTTGCCTATCCCTCAGGAATCCTCGCAGGTGAGTATGCAGCTTCCGACTATGTCTCCGGAGGCTTTGACGTCGAGTGGGCCGCTGCCAAGTATGCCTCAGGGATCTCCTCCGACGGGATTGCAGGGGTCAGGTTCGACTAGTCTGCCGTTTCCGAGTATGCCTCAAGGATCTTCTCAGACGAGCGTGCAGCCTTTGACAATGTCTCCGGAGGGCCCCGACTCAACCCAGCTATGCCCAGGTCCTTCGTTTGGATCGTCGGCGCCACTGACTCAGGATGTCGGGCCTGGACAACCTGAACCCTCTTTTCCAGGCGCGTCTCCAGGGGATCTTCAGCTTTTGGCGAGGTTGTCTGCGCAGTTTGCGGAGTCGGGATCTACAGTGGCTACTGCGGAAAGGATGTTGCGGGAAAGTTCGATGGCTTTGGAGGCGGGAAGGCTTTCGCAGACTGCGGTGGAGCAGGCTGTGAGGGAAGGAGGTGGGCCGCCAGTTTCGGCGGGAATGACTTTGGATGCTCCGGCTACAGGATGGGTCCATGTGAACGGGGCGTGGCTACCCTACTACATGCTGCAAGGTCAGATGGTGATTCCTCAGGGAGCTGGAGGTCGAAGTGGCAATGCGGGTAGTGGCGAGGGTGGAGTGAATGGTTCGCTTCCAAATGTCGGGATCGGACCTTCGATGTCGGCTCCGCCACCGCCTCCGCCTCCGCCCAGGTCTCCGTCTACTCCGGCTCGAAGGCCTCGTCAAGGGGATAATTCCACTCCTGGAGGCACTCCGGTTCCGCCTCCGCCTCCAACACCGGCGACTGTGGCGAGCCCTCCTGCGGTGTTTGCGGGGAGTTCGGAAGTGGAGGAGCCGAGCAAACTGGTGACGCGACTTCCGATGTTGGCGGCGACTAAGGGCCAGGACGCTGCAGTGGTGGCTGGGGACTGGCTGGCGCAGCTGGAACCAAGCATGTCGAGCCTGAGCAGTTCGGCGGCCTCGTGGTGGCAGGCCTTGATGGAGAGGGTTAGAGTGCTCTACACGAGATGGTTGGAGTCGACCCCCATCCTGAGGCTCCAGATCCGTCAGGAAGTGCTGGCGCAGAGACCACCCATCGACAAGTACCAGAGAGTGGAGCAGCGAGCATCTATGTTGCTGCTGGACAGTTTGCCGGAGGACTTGCGGGCGGAAGTTGTGAGTGTGAGGGCGGTGACGGTGGAGGCGATGATTTTCTTGGTCCACTGCTCCTTCCAACCCGGCGGCTCGGCCGAGAAGGCGTATTTGCTCCAGTTCTTGACGGCGCCGGAGTCCGGCAACTCTGTGGACTCGGCCTTGTCCCTGGCCCGGAAGTGGGTGCGGCTTTTGAGGCGTGGCAAAGAGCTCCAGGTTGTGTTGCCAGACCCGAGTCTCCTTTGTCGTGGTTTGGACAAGCTTCATGGGGGAGTTTTCGCGGGCAACAAACACCCTAGTGCGGCCTTTCGCATAGCCAGCTTCAAATTGGAACGTCAGTTGGACTACAAGGCGATGGCTAAGGACGTTGAGGACTATGCGCAGTTGATCCTTGGGGAGCTGGAAGCCGCGCTGCTCGCGCAGCCACTGCCCTCCCAGCCGAAGCTCAACCGGATGGAGGAGACTGGGAATGCCGATGCGGGCAAAGGCAAGGGGCAAAAGCCTTGTTGGGGGTGGTCGGATGGATCGGGCTGCAAGTATGGCCAAAACTGTATGTTTCGTCATGATTCACTTGGCCCTGGTCGTTGTTGGGTGTGCGGAAGCAGCAGTCATCTTAAGCCTCAGTGCCCGGTTGCCGGTCAAGGGGGGAATGGCTCTTCATCGACGGCTGCGGGAACGACGAGTTCTTCAACGGCGCCTTCTACATCTCCGGCACCTCCGGCTGGAAAAGGGGACCAAGTGCCAGAAAAGCCTGGAAGGAAGCCCCGGCGGAAAGGCGGTGGTGGAAAGGGCAACAAAGATGCGATCAGAAAGGCCGAGGAGGATGGAGTCTCGACGGAGGGGGGAGCGACCAATGCAGCTCCTCAGGCATCGGCGACCTCGGCTGCTACGACGGCGGCCCCGTCGAGTGATTCGGCAAGGGAGGATTTCTTTGAGGAGGCGGCCAAGGCCCTGAAGTCTTTGAGGCTGGCCCGTGCTACGTTGGATCGGGTGGCTATGGTGGCGAATGGGCCTCTCAGGGCACTTGTGGATTCAGGTGCTACTACGTCAATGAGAACGGCGAGGCAGCGCGAAACCCAGGGACTACCTACTCGAAAAGTGCTACTGGCTGAGGGTGAGGCGAACTTCTACCAACTTCCGGGCGGAACGCTGCTGACGGAAAGGAGGACCTCACCTATCGTGGCGATGAGCGACCTGATGGAGATCGGCTGCAGGGTGTCATGGGACTCGGCCGAGGGCTGCTGCATCACCCATCCTGTTCGGGGATCTCTGGGTGTCCAGGTTGTGAACGGCTGTCCAGAGGTGGATGAGACTCTGGGATTGGAGTTGATTGAGGAGGCCGAGATCATCAAGAATCGTCGTCGTGAGGCGGAGCTCATGGTGAATCGGCTGGTCTTGGAATGCAGCCCGGAGCCAAAGCTGGACTGGGATTTGGGAGCCAAGGCCGTGAAGGACTTGAAGAATGGTGTTGGAATTTCCTGGGCCTGGCTTCGTCGAGCGTTCCCTCAGGCTCCCGCGTGGCTGCTGTCGGCCATTCCGGTGGTGGCCTCTATGGAAGGCAGCAGGATCCCTTGGAACCGCCGAGAGCGGAAGAAGTGGCGACAGGCCACTGCTGTGGCCGTGCATCTGTTCTGCGGTAGAGACAGAGCGACCTGGAAATCGTCAGCGGAGGCGGCTCACGTGGTGACTGTGGACCAGGCGGAGGATGTCATGGCGGATGATACCTACGCTGCCCTGCTGGATTTGGCCCTTAGTGGAAAGGTGAAGATGGTGTTTGGAGGACCGCCCCCGAGGACCTACTCGGCACTACGATCCTCGTCTGCGGAAGGAGAGGGGGAACTGCGTCCTCTACGTGATCGTGATGGTGATGGAAGGTGGGGTCGGGCAGACCTCAGTGAATGGGAGGCATGGCGAGTGAGACAAGACACCATCATGACCTTCAGGATGATCTTCTTGTGGATGGTGGCCACTGCGGTGGCCCGTGGCAATGGGTGTCAGGATCCAGATTTTCTGATGGAGCATCCGGAGGACCCCCAGGAGTTTCTGCCGAAGAAGGGTCTAGCGTCGTTGTGGGCTTTTCCTGAGGTTCAGTTCCTGAAGAAGGAGATGAAGTGGTGGTGGTGGGCCTTTGATCAAGGTCCTCTCGGGCATCCTCGCAGGAAGCCTACCCGGGTGTTGTCCTCTCAGCCTTGTCCGAAGGCGCTGCAGGATGTACGCGGGCCCTCAGTTGTTTCGGAGGAGGAACGAGATGCGGATGGTGAAGGCTTCCGAGCGGCTCGGTGGGCGGCGTGGAGTCCGGGCCTGAAGCGTGCTGTGCAGCGCGCTGTCGAGGAGAGTTTGGCGGGAGCGACCTTGGAGTCCATCTGCAAGCTGGACGGCGCCTTTCTGGAGCACTTGCAGCGGGACCACACGCCGTTCAGGCGTGACGTCGTGCCTGTCTAGCTGGACACTTTCGAGGGCATGCCCATCGCCGCATTGTTGCTCCGGACGCCTGGACCCTCAGTCTGGACTTGATCGGGCCAACTCGCCAGGGCTCGGATGAGTACGTCCACAAGATCCGCTATGGGCTTATCGGCACCCTGGTTGTTCCGGATACTTTGGGAAAGATCCTTCAGCCTCCTGATCCGGATGGTGATGATGAGGGCAAGGGCGTGGGTCTAGTGGAGGATCCGATTTGTGATGAAGACCACCCCGACCCTGCGGAAGCAGAGGCCTCCGGAGCGGAGGCGGAGCGCAGTGATCGGGAGATGGAGAGGTGGAAAGCCAGAGTTGAAAAGGACAAGCTTGAGAATGTGACCTGTGTGGAAGTCCCCTTCTTTGTGCCTCTGGCCAGCAAAGGTGCTGCGGAGGTGCTAGCGGCCACCAAGGACGTGCTGGTGCAGGTGAAGAAGCTCGGGCTCTCTGTCCAGAGGATTCACACGGACCGCGGCCGGGAGTTCATCAACAAAGGCTTTCGAGCTCTATGTCGGGATCGCAATTTGGTGCGGACTACGACGGTTGGAGATGACTTCAAGGCCAATGGTCGGGTGGAGGCTTTGGTTGGCAGGGCTAAGTGCGCGGTTCGGACCTACTTAGCCAGCTCCGGTTTAGGAGCAGAGATGTGGGCTTTTGCGATGCGGCACTACACCTCCCGGATCCAGCAGCAGGTGGCCACTCAGCTTGGTGCTCGTCTACCCCGGTTACCACCGTTTGGAACGCGGGTCTTCGTCAAGAGGAGGTCCTGGAACCTTAAGAAGGAGGAGTTTTCGGAGAAGGTGGTGGCGGCGAGGGTTCTGTGTCCTTCGCTGGATGTGGCGCGGGGTTTCCTGGTGAAGACCGATGACGGCGCCTACGTGACTACCATGGTGGCGGTCGAGAACGTGAAGGAGGTCTCGGGAGAGTTCGAGGTTGATGCTCCGCCCTCTGCTACTGGAGAGCCCGGAGTTCGACGCAGGATGCGAGAAAAGACCCCCGCGATTGCAAAGCTACGCTGCAATGATCAATGGGAGGAGCACCTCATCCAGGACGAGGAGCTCGCGGAAACCTTCCTGGACACCAAGGACTTTTCGGCTGATGCTATGGACCAGCTACTGGACGGTCTTTGGCTAAGTGAAGAGACGGTACCCAACCGCCGAGGAGAAACCTTCAGCCGCAGCTCCCGGATTACCTCCCATGTGGCTGGCATGTTTCGGCATGGTGGAGTAGTTGGGGCGACCAATCTGGTTCGGCATCGGCCCGCGCTAGTGAAGTTCCTAGTGGAGTTTGTCAAGGCGCAGCTCCCTCCGGGAACTACCTTCACTTCCCTAGCAGTCAACTTCAACATGCCATCGCAATGTCACAAGGACAGCAACAACAAGCCGGGGGAGAAAGCGTACTTGATGGGCTTTGGCAACTATGTGGGAGGTGGTTTGTGGTGCCATGACGAGACTGCCGAGTCGGATGTGCGCTGGAAAAAGGTGGACGCTTGCTGGCTACCGGGCAAGGTTCACCCAACCTACCATCAGCTCGTCACCTTCGACCCCCGACGGCTTCATCAACCTCAGTCTTGGGAAGGTAATCGCTATGTCATCAGTGCGTATACTGTGGGCTGTGACTGCAACTGCTCTTCAGCGGATCGTGATCTACTACAAGCTTTGGGTTTTCCACTACCACCGGCCATGGTTCAGCCGCGGGCTGAAGGAGGAGGAGCTCGGTGTTGTTGTGGGGCGATGAAAAGTTTGCGTCGTTCCAAGGGTGCCCTTCGGAAGTTTTGTGGTGCTTTTGACGGAGCTGGAAGATGCAGTCCAGGTTCGGGGGAGGATCAGTTTTTGGAACCCCATCAAGTCGGTGGAGACAGTCAGGGTCTGGAGGAGGATCAGATATTGGAACTCCCTCAAGTCGATGGAGACAGTCAGGGTGCGGGGGAGGATCAGATGTTGGAACCTTCTCAAGTTGGCGGAGGCGGGCTATGCGAGTCGGCCTGTCTGTGCAAAGGCTACGAGGTGGATCCGTCGCTGTGTACCTGCCGGGTGTCTCAGGTGAAGTCGCGGTTGGAGCCCCAGGTGTTCTACATTGGTGGAGATGATGAGGCGCTGGAGTCGGAAGAGGCTGTGCTTGGGAACCAGGATGTGGGCGGCTTCGGTGACGGCGCATGGTTGAATGAGGCCTGGGGGGCCTATGGTCCGCCCGAAGTTCCGAAGCTCAAGGCGATCAATGACCAGGACGAGGCCTCGTACATGCTCCTTGGTTCTGAGGTTCCGTTGGAGGTGGGATGGGATCTTTTTGACACCTACCTTGACGATCTCCGTCTTGCGCTGATCCAGGAGGAGTACCTGGATGGGGACGAGCTTCTACGAAAAGGCGGAGAAGGAGAAGACGGTGCTGGCTCACTGTCCAGGTGGGTTCAAGGTCGTGCCGATTTGGAAGGCACCATGGAGGAGTTTTCGTCTTTGGAAACGGAGCAGTCAGAGTGTGCAGTGAAGAAAGTCGAGGTGACGGAGGAAAAAGAGCTGGAAATGCCTTTGCACACGAAGACCATTCCCAATGACGTGGTCCGGAAGGAGATCGGCAAGTGGGTTCCAAGCATGGTTTCGGAGTACGAATCTCTGGTCCGGGAGAATGACGCGGTGGAGCCTTTCGATGAGAAGCTCCTGGACCAGTGGCGCCGGGAAGGACGTGAGTTTGATTTGGTTCCCGGGAAAACCGTGCACACCGTGAAGGCTTTCACGGGCCGTTTGAAGACGAGGGCGGTGATTTGCGGCAACTTCCTGGGGCAGAACTTCTCGAAGGACCAGAAGTATGCTGCTGGTGCAGATGGAGTTTTGACCCGCATCCTCTTCCGGATGATCGCTCTCGTGATGTGGAGTGTCTGTGTCATGGATGTACGAACGGCCTTTTTACTAGCTCCTCTCCTGTTTCAAGAAGATCGACCCACCTTGGTCCAGGTGCCGAAGATGTTTCTTCTTGGAAACGTGTGCCAAGAGCGGATTTGGAGGGTCAAACGGGCCTTGTATGGTTTGGTTACTTCTCCGAGGTCATGGGAGGTGTACCGCAACCGCACGCTGGCGGAGATGAAAGGCACCGTCCCGGAAGGACCGGTCAAATTGATCCAGTCGGAGATCGATGGAAGCCTGTGGTATATTCAGGTTGGAGCTCGTCGTGCCGGGGCCCTCATCTGCTATGTGGACGACCTCCTGATCGCGGGCGAGAAGATCGTTGCTCAGGAGGTTGCGAGGATGATTGGAAGCACTTGGAAGTGCACTGAGCCCCAATGGGATGATGTCACCTTCAACGGCTTTGAGATCCAGAGCACAGAGGATGGTCTGGTATTGAGGCAGGACTCCTATACGAAGGACCTTTTGGACCGCTACAAGGACCTGCCCGGCTATGAGGAGGTGCCAGCCCCGATGCAGCTCTGCACTGAAGACTTCGAGCTTAAGGACGGCGAGGTCGCGGCGGACTTCGTTCATACGGCACAGGTGATGGCGGGGGAACTACAATGGTTGGCGGGACGATGCCGGCCGGAAATCCTCTATGCGGTGAATCTGTTATCGCAGACCATAAGCCGACGACCAAAAGAGGCGGTGTACCGCGGAGGCCACCTGATCAAGTACCTCAAGCGCTTCCCCAAGGCTGGGCTTCTGTACACCCGACGGCCTCAAGTGACGCCAGATGGTCAGGTGTCGGCGGCCAATGCGGTCATTGAAGGCTACTGTGACGCCAGCTTTGCCCCGAGTGCGGAGAGAAGCCAGCAAGCTGTGATGGTCTTTGTGGCTGGCGGGCTCATTGCCTGGTCCAGCCATCGCCAGGCCTTTGTGACTATGTCGACGGCGGAGAGCGAGTTGGTGGCCATTTGCGAGCTAGCTACTTGTGTGAAGTCAGTAGAGCATTTGGTTGCTGAGATCATGCTTGACTCGAGTGCCCGGATCAATGAGGTGATCAAGGTGATGTATTCGGATAGCCAGTCGGCCCTAGCGGTGTGCCGATGTGCGGCAGGCTCGTGGAGGACAAGGCACTTGAGGATCCGTGGCAACATGATCAGAGAGCTGCTTGAGCTCCCCAACTGGTGCGCCTACCATGTCGACGGCAAGGTGATGTTGGCGGACCTGGGAACGAAGGCCTTGGCTGCGGATCGCTTCAACATGCTTGTTGATAGGATGAGGGTGGTGCGCACACGCTCCACCGCTTCTACCAAGAGTTTGACCGCTGGCCAGGCAAAGAAGTTGATGATGGTGCTATGCTTGGCTGCTATGGTGGAGCATGGAGAGGCTGCCGAGATCGACCCCCGGGAGCCTTTCGACTACCGGTTCGTTGGGTTGTGCATGCTGGCCGTGATTGCGATTTGGGAGTGCGTGAAGGGCGCGTTCAGCACGATGCTTGGCTACTACCGAGGCGGCATACGACGCCTGAGAAGCGAGGTCGACCCGAGACTGGATTACCGCCGGAGCGGCCTGCGGAGAACACAGGAAGAGACCTCGCTGAGTAGGTCCTCGGATCCTGATTCAGGCACCGAGGATCGACAGGAGGTAACCTCACCGGTGATTTCCCAGGCTGCTGCTTCTTCTACCTTGCGGAATCGCAGTCGGGTCACTGGGGAACGTCGTCCACCAACGCCTCCGATTCCTACGGTGACCATGCAAGCTCCAGAGCCTCGCATCGTGACTAGGCCAGCCGAGACAGCATACAGCTTTCCGGACCCCTCCGGAAAGCGCGATCGCTGGGAATGGGACGAAGCGAATGGCGTAGTGATTCGCTGGCACGCCGCCGCTCGGATGCAGCTTTTCGTGCCAGGCCAGACCGCTGGAGGCCCTATCCAATCACAACTTACAGGAGAGAGGCAGACCTTTGCGAAGTTTGCCAATGGAGAGACGCGTGTCGTGGCAGACAACTACAAGGAGTTGCACAAGCCTGCGCAAACACTAGCGGATCGTGAGTGGAGGGGGCGCACGGAGCTGCGCCTAGTCCCAGCACAAGGACGAATGAATGTCAAGCCTTGAGTCCGGACTGCAGGCTGCGTAAGTCGGCTGCAGGTATGATGAAGCAAAAGGTGCTTCAGAAACCCTTGTAAAGTTTCAGGGTTCTTTTGGTGTGATGGGCGCCTAAATCTCGCATCTTCTGTTCAGCGGATTGCTGAAGGGGGAGTCCGAATGCGAGTGCGCTTGTTCATAATGTGCTACCGAAGGCTTGTTTTCTCGAAGCAAAAAGCTAGTGTGCCTCCGCGAGTCGGAGAAATAATTGAAATAATTGAAATCGGCCCCATTTCAATTATTTCAATTATTTCAATTATTTCAATTAATTGAAATCCTATGGTTCTGTGGAAGGGCCTCACGGACCACAAGGATTTCAATTATTTCAATTATTTCAATTATTTGTGTCACCCAAATAATTGAAATAATTGAAATAATTGAAATCAATAGGTTTACTAGGTCAACGGATGAACCACACGATTTCAATTAATTGAAATAATTGAAATAATTGAAATAATTGAAATCGGCCCTATTTCAATTATTTCAATTATTTCAATTATTTAGGTGACCCAAACAATTGAAAGAATTGAAATCGGCCCCATTTCAATTATTTCAATTATTTCAATTATTTCAATTAATTGAAATCCTATGGTTCTGTGGAAGGGCCTCACGGACCACAAGGATTTCAATTATTTCAATTATTTCAATTATTTAGGTGACCCAAACAATTGAAATAATTGAAATAATTGAAATCAATAGGTTTACTAGGTCAACGGATGAACCACACGATTTCAATTAATTGAAATAATTGAAATCGGCCCTATTTCAAATAATTATGTATTTCAATTATTTCAATTATTTAGGTGCCCAAACAATTGAAATAATTGAAATAATTGAAATCGGCCCCATTTCAATTATTTCAATTATTTCAATTATTTCAATTAATTGAAATCCTATGGTTCTGTGGAAGGGCCTCACGGACCACAAGGATTTCAATTATTTCAATTATTTCAATTATTTAGGTGACCCAAACAATTGAAATAATTGAAATAATTGAAATCGGCCCCATTTCAATTATTTCAATTATTTCAATTAATTGAGATGGTGGGGTTCTGTCGATAGGGCCACTGCCTCACCCCCTGCTCTCCCCCGCCCTTGCCCACCACCACTCCCCTGCGCCCATTCCCTCCACCCCCTCCCTTCCCCTCCTCTCACCTGCCCTCCCTCCTCCCTCTCCCTCCCCCCACCCCCCCACTACCCTACCCCCCACACCCTTCCGGTCCCCCCACCCCTTTGGAGGGGTGCAGGCCTTCACCTACCAACCACCCCCTCCACCCACCCCCTCACTCATCCACCCCCCACCCCTCCACCCCCAACCCCTCACCCACGCACTCCTCCACCCCCTCCGTTCCCCACTCTCTCCTTACCCTCTCCCTTCAATTCTCTCCCACCCCTCAAAACCCCCTCCCTCCCCCCCCTCCCCTCCCCATCCCTTCCCCTCACTCCATCCTCCTCATCTCCTCTGCCCTTCCCTATCCCATCTTCCCTTCCTCCGCTACCAAAGAGTTAGCGAAGATGTCATTCGACAGAACAGCCTCGCCGTCAGGATCGGTGTTGGAAATGGGAAGAGACAGCAGGCTCCAAACCGCCGTGTCTCACCCACCACTTCAAGGGCTAGGGATCCCACACATCTGCGGGCAAAATCTGGCGGAAGTGATCCGCCACCTAGCAAAAAGCCTGTAAATACCGCATTAAACAAAGGGCCAGGGATTTCACATATCTGGTGGCAAAATCTGGCGGAAGTGAGCAATCGGTACTTCTGTCAGATTTTGCCAACAGATATGTGAAATCCCTGGCCCTTTGTTTAATGCGGTATTTACAGGCTTTTTGCTTGGTGGCGGATCACTTCCGCCAGATTTTGCCCGCAGATGTGTGGGATCCCTGGCCGTTTTTTGAACGCGGCATTTACAGGCTTTCTGCTCGGTCGCGGCTCGCAGGGATTATACACCCCTGCCCCCACTCCACCCTCCTGCCCCCTTCATACCTCACTACCCACCCCCCTATCTCAGCCCCTTGCCTCGTACCCCATCACCACCCACCACCCACCACCTATTATCCACCACCCGGCACCCCTCACCCGCCACGCCCACCACCCACACCCTCCCCACCAACCACCACACACCACCCACCACACACCACCCACCACACCACCCATCACCCACCACCCACCACCCACCACTACCCAGCACCCGCCAGCCACCACTACCCACTACCCACCACCCACCACCTACTCCTCCCCATCATCGTTATCACCATCCTATTATCATTTATCATCGGTTTATCACCTTTATCACCCACTCCCCCAAACCCACCCCTCACCACGCCAGCACAAACCCCCTGCCCATTCACATCCCTCCCCCACCCCACCCACTACCCCCACCCCCACCACGAACCCATTAGGGTCCAACAGGGCTGCGGACACCCCACCCCCTCTCCATCATCTGCATCATCTTCATCAGCTTCATCATCTCCATCATCTTCATCATCTCCATCATCTTCATCATCTCCATCATCTTCATCATCTTCTTCATCGTCATCATCTTCGTTGCCGGTTTCATTGGTTTTAATACCGCTCCCTCTATTCTTAAAGGTAATTTCATAGGTATTGTACGAACCATAATACAATCGATTTATCTTAACTACTATATCAAGAATAGCTTACCACATCGCATCTACATACTTTGTAACCGGGCTTACTATAAAGGCCCCATATGAGGGATCCATAATGGGTTTCTAGAAAGTCTCTCTGTAAGGGATCTCTACATAGAGGATCTATAAGATTTCTATAAGCAATCTGTAAGGGTTTTCCAGAAGGGCTCCATACGAGGGATCTATACAGAGCTTCCATGTGGTTTATACAAAGGGTAAGGAATATATAGCAGTTGTCTATGAAAACTCCATGTAAGGGATCTTGTAAAGTTTTCTACAAAGAACTCCATTTGTTGATCTATACGGGGTTTCTATAAGTTCTCTATATAGGGGATCTATAAAGTTTCTATACGAATCTATAAAAGCTGTCTATGAGGGCTCCATACAAGGGATCTGTGAAGGGATCTATAGGGATTTTTTCATGGGAATGTATACCTTCGATACGGATAATTGCGCCTTTGTTAAGATCGTGAAGACTATTAACTACGTGATATCCTTCTTGGCTAATGCTGTGATCACATCAGATCCGATATGTATAGAGATACATTGGAAGGCACATGGGAAAACAAACTGACACATTACAGGCCTTCTAATGTGTCATTATTCCTATTGAAACCCTAAAGGCAAGGAACTTATACACTGTAGGGCATCTGTATATTGGAAGGTCTCTGGGTAGTATAAATTGACGCATTACAGGCCCTCTAATGTGTCACTCCACTCCTTCCTATGGAACCTCTATTGCAATGGAACTTTTCCACTAGAAAACCCCTGGACATAATAAACTGACACACTGCAGGCCCTATAATGTGTCGCTCCACCTATCCTATTGAAACCATACTGATAAGAAATTGATACATCGGAAAGCACTTTTTATGGACATAACAAACTGGCACATTAAACCCACTATAATGTGTATCTTCACTTCCTGGGTCCTGGACTGGGCAAATTGACATATTACATGCCCTCTAATGTGTCACTTCATTTCTCCTACTGAAACCCTACTAACAAGGAACTTAGACACTGTCAGGCCCCTGTACCTGGGCATATCAAATTGACATATTACAGGCACCCTAATGTGTCACTCCACCCACTCCGATTGACCCTCTACCGACAAGGAACTTATACACTGGAAAGTCCAGGACATAACAGATTGGCACATTACATGCCCTGTAAAGTGTTACTCCACTTCCCCTGTTCAAACTCTATTGACTTGGGCATAACGAATTAACACATTACAAGCCCTCTAATGTGTCACTTCATCCCTTCTATTGAAAGTATATTGACAAGGAAAATCCTACTTTGGAAGGCTCCTGGACACAGCGACCTGACACATTACAGCCTTATTTCAATCAATGAAATCGTTGGGTTCTGGGATTAGGGCACAAACCTCACCGATTTCAAGTTCGGGCTCAATTCTTGCTAGCTTGCACCTTCAGCGTTAAACTCTAAAGCCCTAAGCCCCGGAGCCCATAGACCCAAGCATGAGTGAAGAGGGCACGTTACACGACAGTATCACGTCAAACATTTACATACCGTAATGATAGAGCACAATGCAGTATAATGTAAGATATTATCGCGCCGTGTAGTTTTTCATAGAATAGGATATACTACGTCGTTGCACCATTCACAATTAGAATGAAAGCAGTATTATGCCACAAAGACATTGAACCTGCCGTATCCTGACATTGTTTGCAGAGCCATGCCGTCCAAAGACAAGAAGCGACGTCAGCGAGCGGTGAAACGTTGGCGTGTTTTGCACAACTCTCGCGACCATCTAAAAGCTCTCACAGAAGTCGTGCACTCTTACACTAAGATCCGCAAATTGGTACAGGCGTCTCGTGCTGCCAAACACCGCAGAGCTCAATTGTTGGCCATTTTGTTGAAGAGCTGCAGTTGGCGAGACATGGTGGTATTGCGGCAAGTTGCATCGAGGTTACAGCAAAGCAAAGCGCCGTCTCCAGCCATGGGGCAATGCGTCAAAAAAGGACGATGCTATGTACAAAAGGCTGCTGTCTTCTGTTACAATCAAGAAGAGACCGGACATGCGTGGCGTCGACACTTTTGTCCGTGAATCGTTTCGCTGCAGGGCTATTTGCGTCATTTCGTCGAGATTTGGGAAGCGTGGCGTTTTGCCAGAACAGCCGGTATCGATGGAATTATTACCTTATCGGGTTTATGGCTACAGCAACAGCAGCGCATGCGTGGCAAAGCATCGGCGTTGGTGCCAAGAGTACCGTGATTGGGTCCCGCTACCTACACTGGTTCCGTACAAGCGACAACTCACAGAAGCTATGTTGAAAGAGCGGTGTTCGGTTGGGCCA